CCACAGCAGTTATCCCAGTAAAACCAAGGAGAGATCCTCCTTCCCTGGATCCCACTCTAACCCGCAGCAGTTATCCCAGTAAAGCCAAGGAGGGATCCTCATTCCCTGGATCCCRCTGTAGCCCATTCAGTTATCCCAGTAAAGCCAAGGAGGGATCTTCCTTCCCTGGATACCGCTCTAACCCACAGCGGTTATTCCAGTAAAGMCAAGGAGGGATCCTCCTTCCTGGATCCCACTCTAGCCCACAGCAGTTATTCCAGTAATGCCAAGGGGGGGATCCTCATTCCTGGCAGACCCACCTGGTGCCCAGACCCCAAGGGGACCCATGGGCAAGAGCAGATGGCCCCAATCACCTCCCTCCCCCAGCCCAAGCGCATCCTTCTCCTTTAACAACTCCCACACATCCAAGGAACAGCCCAGCCTTGTTTCCATCGCTCAACGGAGCTGACCCATGTCCCATGACTGATCCTGGGCCCCGAGGAGCAAGGAAGACAATGGAGCCACTATGCTGACACGGGAAAGGCCATCAGATCAGCAGGCGATGGCTTTAATATTTCTCTTTAAATTCTCATTTGCAGCCTGACTCGGTTTCCTAGGCAGTATCGCTTACAAGGATTAGGAGCTGCAGAGGACATTAGCACAACTCCTCTTCTGAGGTTTTTTTTTGCAGCTTAATGGGCAGGAAGTGCTGGGGATGAGACTGCAGCTTCTGACACTGTGGCTAGAAGCTGCTCTGAAGCTCCCCTCTGCTCCGAAGTCTTTCCTCTGTGCTCTTTTTCTGTCCTAGAATCGCCTCTCAATTAACGGTACAAAAATAAAGCCCGTGTCATCTGTCCCTCCTAAACTGCGTATGCATTATTCATCCATATGTCCTAATTGATTCTCTCATATCCATGAGCACTTCTGCTCGTGGTCACTTWGTTCTTGTGCTTTGGAGCACGATTTATAAGATTTTTGTACTACTTTTAAAGGCACTGCCAGAGCTTTGCCTTTCATAGCTGCCCTGATCAGGGCTCCAGCTTAAGCCCCCCAGTACCATGAGGCCTCAGCCTTGTATCCAGAGGAAGGTATCCATCAAGCAACACTCCYGCACTGACCATCAGTGTCCCAGGTGGGACAACCTGGAGCCATCAAGTGGCATCTCTTTCAAAGCAGCTAATAAATCACTGACCTCATCGCTGGCAAAAGCGTGTTGGGTTGAATGGGCTCATAAATCACAGCAGCTGCTTCTGAAGTACTCCAGCAACCGGGTTACAAGAGCTGGTGGACACGCTATTCTCAGACCCTTCCAAGCATGGAAGTTGTGCCGCGATAGCACAGCTCCAGCTTCCTGGAAAGCTGGGATTTGAGTGTGGTATCCCCATCTCACCTGCTTAGCTTCATCTGTGTTGACTCACATAGACCCTGTAACAGTACAGAGACCTTTCCCCTCACACCTCTGCCCATTTCTGCTTTGTTTCTTCCCACACATTCCCRCCATGAAGAAGGAGCTGCAGTCCAGCCATTCCCTCTCTTGTGGCAGGGCAGGCACATCCAGACAGCAGGGAGGGAGAAGCAGGGATGCTCCCTGGCAGTTTCCCTCTGGAAAGACAGACTCAAAAAGAGAGAAGGTGGGAAGGAAAGGGAAAGCCATGAAGAGAAGAATACGCCACTTAAAAGAGGCTGTCCACTTAGGGACTTGGCCAAGGAGGTCCTAAGGAACCTCATCTCAGAGGGGGACTAGCTAAAGTCACAGCTTCCCCGTTTCAGGGACATTTAAGCAGCAGCACAATGCTCAGCATGAGCTTGGCTCCTGCCCCAGCACTCAGCCTGCAACTTTTCTGTTCCCCACTAGAAGGGGCTAAGAACTAGCCATCACTGAGAAGAGCAACCCATAACTCCTACCACACAAGGTAAAGGCAGCCCTCATCCCACAAACCAGCCCCGGCGTTTCCTCTCGCTCCAAATCAGAACAACCCAGAAGAGATTTGGTGTCATTAGGGAGCACAGCCTCGCTGCTTGCAGAGCTGGCATTTATTTTATTTTCTTATCCCTCCGTGATGAGCTGCTTTAGGGGAAGATTAGAGTATTGAAATGTTGTAATGCCATTACATAACACAGTAGAGCACTGCTCACTGCTCAGCCTCCAGCGCTGCGTAAGGGAGCCCGACGCAGCAGGAAGGTGAAGCCAGGCAGAGTCCCGCTCATTTCCCTCCCAGAGGGACATTGGAAGRGCTGGCAACTTCAGGCAAGGAAAGAGAAGAGCAAGGAATATAGACAGGAACAGGAGGGAACCAGGGTGAAAGATGAAGCAGCACTCAAGAAAACTAAAGCAATGAGTTTAAGACTCAATACAAGGGAGCATCTTAATGGAAAGTATCACACAGACACCCACAGCAGAATACTTGGCTAAAGCAGAGCTTGCACTGCCAGCTCACCTGCTACAACCACCAGTTCTGACACTTAGACTGCTAACAGTTCTGACACTTAGTTCTGACACTTAGGCTGCTAGGCCAGTGCTCAACCCACCTAGAAAGTCCTGCAATGGTCAGACCTCCTCCAGGGGCAAAGTCAAGCTCAGCTCCAGCACACACAGCTGAATTATTGTGCTACCTGTAAAAGACCATCAGTAAATAAATATATATAAAATTATATTGCTTTATTCTTCTTGCTCTGCTTAACCAGGACCACCTGCAGTAGGACAACTCAGTACCAAGCAGCACAAAACCAGAGGCTTCCATTGAGGCAGTACCAGGCGCTTAGTTGCTTCTGAGCTCAGCCAGAGGAGCTAAACATCCTCAACCTCTTGCCTCCCCCTCAACTCTCCTTTTAAGCCATCCTTCCAAGCCAGCTGGTTCTAGCAGGTGCAGCAAGCTGGGCCCAATGGCTCCCTCCCAGCCCCTGCAAAATGCATTAACCTTCTGGAAGTGGTTCTTCTAGCCTTCTAACCTTCTAGCTGTGGAACAGGGAAGACATCCCGATCCATGAGGTGAATACATCTCCGGCATCACTCCTTTGCCCAGGCTTCCTTTCTAGTAACCCATCTCCTGAGAAATTCATTTTGGTGTCTGCCTTGCCAGGGGACTCTTCCCTTCTAGAGCAACACTGTCCCCTCCAGCTAGAACTGTAGACAATAGGGCCTTGAGGCACTGATGAAATTTAATGGCCCTAACAAGAACCACCTGGGTCTTTGCCTACCCCCACCCTCCACTCATTGKCCCAGGAGGCCATTTAAGCTCAACCCTGGCCCTTCAATTATCTACTTGAGCTGTATTATAATATATATATTTATATATCAGCTTGCTTAGTGTTGGTGCATGTTAATCGAGCCTTCAAACTTTGGATGGACTTCTCAGCTTAACCTCATGCTTGGCTGCTCTCTACCTGTCTGGTAACTGCTCTGTTTGGTCTTATTTRGGGTGTTGGAGAGTCACCAAAGGTGACCATTACCTGCAGGTTGGCTTCCCAACTTGACCTCTAGTTTTAGAAGCAGCAACTCTAGCTACCTTGGAGAAAGAGCAGCTGCTAGGGAGCAGGGGTGACTCGCTGGCCAGCTCTCTGCTGGGGCCCTGCAAACCAGGCTGACCTTTTCCGTGGGTGAAGCCGCAGGAGAAAAAGCAAAAATATTGCCCCAAAACTGCCCCAGTTCCATCTGCCACCAGCATACATGGTTCCTCAGATCCTGCCACTGCTATTTCAGGTCATCTCCTTCTACCTGCAGTGGTGGAGGCTCCATAACCRTGGGCTGGTTGTGAGGGGCGCTGGTAGACAGGGCACTTACAGACTAGCCAGGGACTRCCATGATTTGGTTTTGTTCAGTTGACAGCTGCATTTTAATCACATCTGGAGAGTTATCCTCAGTGATGAGGATGGTAGAGGAAGGAGTTTCTTGGGGACAGATATATGCAAGTGAGTGACTAGTAATAAAAGGCTTTTTCAGGTTTTTTTTGAGCACAGATGCAACAGGCAGAGGGATTTGGTGGATTATCAAGGTTTGGATAGAGATCTTAGTCCACTTGTCACATTAATGCTGGTAAGACCTACATTTGTTCCTTCAGCTGGTAGACTCAACAAGGGTTTACTGTTAATCTGCAGCCGTAAAACAAGATAGCCAGCTTTTCTCTTTGCTTACTTTGTACACGCTTTCTTGGRGAGCAGATCTTTTGTTCATTAGCTCACCTGTGCTCCCGGGAAACCCTTTGATTTAAGGTGTCTGCATGGAGGAATTAGTGTTGATTCCACCTTTTTGCTTATTAGCCCATAACACTTCCTCCTTGGCATGGTGTTCCCAGGGTAATACACCACGTGAGACCTGCTGTGTTCACCCGTACGACCGCTCGCCCAGGCAGGCTGAGCCTTGCTGAGGGCTGCTCCTTCCCCAACACCCCTTGGACCCAGTTTAACAACATCTGCAGAGCCCTGCAACCATCCAGCACACCAAGCCTGCTGCTTTGGTGGGGTCTCTCCTCCATGCACAGCAATCATGAAACTCCATACAGCGTGCCATAAGTCATAATATCTCATGATTTGCAGTTATATTTCATGTTTCTACTCTGAAATACTTCCCTGTTCATTAGCAGTGGCTGTTTATTCCTTGCGGTGCCCAGATGTCTTTCTGATACCTTGGTAGAGTCCGGCATGGAATTAGTCATGCTAAAGGCATACATCAGTGTGACTGAAATCCCCAATTCATYGTGCTCTGTCCTCGCTGCATGTCCTATCTTTGGAAAAAATAATGTCTTCACAGCCCAGTTATTCCTGCTTTCTCAGTGTGAAAATATTGCCATAATTTAATGCTCTTTGCGGTCTGCGTGACCCAGCGCAGTGGGCGGCATTTGAATTTTGGGATAATCTAAGATCATTGTAGTCTGCTTCTCCCCCACAGTAGGTGATCTCATTGCAAAAAACAACCACCAAACAGCACCCATTTAAACCAAATTAGTGTCTCTTCCTTCCCTTGACTCCTCCAGCTTCACAGTTGCTTCTCAGGTTCAGGATCTTACGGAAGCCTCTGCCTTAATCAGCATGTGGTTTCAATCATGCAAGAGCCAATTCTGGGTTGCCCTTTGGAAAAATAACTTTAGTTGTGGATGCATTTCAGCAGGAATAATTTGGAAGGCTATCAAGGAGGTAATCTAGAGGCTGCTTGTGTCCATGGGAGCCGGCTTTGACCTGCTTATGAGCTGCAGTTCTTCGGGAACACAGCTCCTGCTATTTCAAGCATAGTGTCCTGATGCAGAAAATGAGAAGCGATGCTAAAATCTTATGCAGTTTTTTTGCATAAAATTTGGAGTTTAACTCCCATCTTTCCTTTTGCTAAGCACTGCAGTGGGGAAAAGGAYGAGGAGGAGTAAACATAAGAATCTGCTAAAGTTCCCTCGTGTAGATGACCTTTTTATACTTCACAGGGGAGCAGAAAAGCTTCTTGTTCTGTTTAGAGGCTACAAAATCACAGTCTTACCCTCTACCCTCCACCCCTTTTGATGGCCTTGGTTGGCAAATAGCCTTGACCAGCGGCTCAGTGAGAGCCTTGACCTCTTGAGCAGAGTCCTAGAAACCAACACGGCCTAAACCTGGGAGCAACTTAAGGAAAAACACAKCTGTGAGTTGCTAAAGCTCCCTCCAAATCATCCTGAGTTGCCGTAGCTTCTCCAGCAGGATCAAAGTTTGTTCCTATACCAAGAAGCTCCAAGATCCTATACCAAGAAAGCCTCCRAGAAAATTTATAACCTCCATGACAGCTCTCTCCTGTAGCAATACTGTTGATAAAGGGGATTTAATTGCTTTAGTTGGGTAGTTACTACCCCTGAGAACCCCACTTATGCCCTCAATGATATTATTTACATCTTTTTTAATCACAGGCCATGTTTCAAATCAACCCTGTCCTCCCCACCATGTACCTGCCCTTGGTAGCTCTGCTGAATGCCTGGGCATCTTCATCTGCATCCAGGACAGGTTTGGGCTACCGTGTTTTTAAAATGTTTTCATGTGTCTAATGTGGGGAACTGCAGGGCCCACGTTCAGCATGGGACATCTAGGATATGTTGGATGTGTGGGAGAGCAGGGAGAACTTTACGCTGGCAGAGGAAAGTGTCTCTGAGGTTCCACCTCGGCACCTTACGTGGTGACCACCATAGTGGCCATCTCCWGCCCACGCTTGTTCTCCGTGCTGCTTCCTCGCTCCCTGCCGCTCCTGTTCCTCATCTGCCTGCCACGGGTGAGGAGATGGGAACCGAGAGCAAACCCAGCTCCGCGTCGCGATGCAGCTTCTATCGCCCTGTTGTCTGTGCCCTCGTCTAGACCACACAGGGAACAATTTTGCCAATAATTTACTGAAGTAAATTGGCATGAGGAAGGAGGGAGCTATTAGTAACAGTTTATTCCCAGGCATCCAAGATTACTATGCAAGAAAATTAAAAAAAAAAGGGCAAATTAATGAGGCAGTTGTCCACTCCGCAGCCGAGCTGCGCGCCCCAGCGTGGGGGATTGTGGCAGAGCCTGGAAACACTGCATAGCAACCAGAGTTCTGTGAAGTATTAGGGGAAAAATTCCCGACAAACCACAAAAAGAGCTGGCAGAAGCCACGGAATGCCTGGAAGTGCAACCAGAGAGGTTGGGAAACCCTCAGCCGAGCGAGGGGGGATGAGTTTATCCGGGTGAGCAGGGACCCCGATGCACTGGGATGTGGAGCGGCGAGCGGAGAAGACACAGGGCATGGAGCTGATGGCTGGGGCGGATAGTTCTCTGCTCCTTTGCATGATTGTCTGTCCCACAGAGATAAATAGTGGGCAGAGGAGCTTTTTCCCCATTAATGGGCTCCCACAAGAGCCCAGAAGGATCACACCTGAATAGGGATGCTGGGATCTCCGCTGCTCAACCACCTCCTTCCAAGGTGCTGCAAGGAGCTCAGTGCGAAACCTCTCGGGGCTTGCAGCAGGAGCACCCAGCTCCTTCAGGCTGGAGATGGCTCTGCAGCACCACAGCGACTTGTTTTTCTTAGTCATCTCTCATTTTCTTAGTCATATTTCACCAGTCCACACCCTGCGCTGGAAATTGCTTGCGTGCAGCCTGGCTGCAGAGCAGATCCCCCAGCTGCAGCGCAGGGGAGATGTTACCAAATCCATGGGAGAGGTTCGTGACACAAGCGCTCCCGGCACTTTCCCACCATCGTGATCCGCGACAGGAACAGAGAGGTGCTGAGCACCGTTTGCAAACCTGGATGTGGCCACCACGGCAGAAGCAAGGGGTGAAATCCAGGAGTCCTTCCAGAAAACACATAGTGCTGCAGCAGACCCTGTAACGTGAGGGAGAAGGGAGCTGCCACCCTCCTCGCTCAGCCTCCCCCTGGCAAAATCCCYCGGGGATTATTCCCAACGGAGCAAACTTCCACCACCGTTTCCCAGGAGGAAAACTGCCTGAGAGGTGGCCTTGGCATGGGGTGTCCCCAGGGTGGTGCTTTCCCCTTCGCACGCAGGCTGCAGCCCCACTGACTGCAGGATCCACATGTTGGCAAAAGCCTCTGTGAAAGCTCCTCCAGGAGGGAACTGCAACATTGGCAAGGGAAAGCAAAGCCCAGAGGGTGTCTGCAAGGCTGCCAAATAACTCTGTGAACTTGCCTGGCTGCGAGAATGGTAAATTCTTCCTTCTCCCCCATTTTTGTATGACTCTTGTGATGTGAGAAGCTAATGAAGGGCAGCGAGATGTTGGTCAGCTCCAAGAGAGGAGGGAATTAGCTCGGAAAAGCCGGAGCTGCAAGACCCAGGATGTCCCTTGCTAGGAGAGGCTGCCTTTTGCAGAAGGGACACCCAGGGCATTGCACCATCCATAGATGCTGCTGCAAGGCAAACCCTGGATATCCCTCTCTTGGACTTCAGGTAACCACAGCTGGTTTGCAAAGCTTCCCTTTGCCAGCAGCTGCAGCAGGCAATGCCCTTCCCTCCGCAAATCCCTTGGGGCTTCATCTGTGCGTGGATTCATTCGCCCGCTTCTGCTCCCGCCGCTTGCGGGCAGCTCTCTCTAGAGCATAATGTTATTTAGCATTAACGAGCAGGGGGGGT